GGAAGAGCATAAGGAGATAGAGACGGACCCACATCTAGAGATGCCTAGAAATCTAAAACAACCCAGAGACCTTCTGATAGAGATGTCTTCAACTTAGAGACCCAGCAAGACACACACACACACACACACACACACACACACACACACACACACACACAGAATAAGAGTCTTAGAGAGACCCAGGTACCCAGAGAGACCAAAGGACCTAGAGAGATTGAGAGAACCAGAGAACCAGGGACACTCAAAGAGCCAGAGTGACCAGCCATCGCCGAAGAACCAGAGGGACCATCAGACCGATCCAAGACCCAAGAATACTGAGAGACTCAGAGAGAAATTCAGAGATACCCAGAGCCCCAGAAATCTAGGCTCCCTAGAGAGAGCCGGAGAGACCAAGAAATGCAGAATGATCAAGAGACTCAGGGAGATGGGGAGACCCAGAGCATGTGAGGGACCCAGAAGGACTGAGGCCCGCAGAGGGGCAGTGGGACTCGGAAGAGCAGGGCAAGGACAGAGGGCACACAGCCCTGGGCAGCAGGGCCCAGCCTGGGGTTGGGAATAAAGCAGAGATTGGAGAAAGCAGGCTTCCAGGGTGCTGGTGACCAGTAGGCTGTGTCTTGGGGGTCGGGGACAGTCAGGGGAGCCCGCCCCTAACAAATCATCATGGGTCTGGTAGGCGCAATTGTACAGTGATAATAAGTAAAGATTATAGTAATTCCATAGAGTGCAAGAGAGATAGAAGAGAGATTGAAGTAATGGAGTCAGACACACTTCATGGTAGCATGCTCACCTCAGCCTCACTTGGTGGTCCATGTGGAGATGGAAGAGGTGAGGCCAGGAGGGAGGGGGAGGGAAAGGAGGACAAGGGGAGAGGGAACAGGGGAGCGAAGTGGGGGGGGTGAGGATAGGGAAGAGAGGACTGGGAGAGAGCTCTTTATTGCTAACCAAGGCTTATATACCTTTGCGGGGCATGCAAGCCCCCTAATTACAGGTAAAGACATATGTCACAGGAAGGGGTTGCACTATAGGTAATACAGCAACGAGAGGGGGACAATCTAGGGATATACATGCAATAGGAAGGGGAGGGACTGGGGGTACATGCGACAAGATGGGCGGATCCTAGATTCAGGATGGCAGCCTAACGTTAGATGTCACTGAGCATGTTTGACCTGTTCTCTGGTTCTCCATGGAAACCATTATCAGTAGGGTGTGAACCCCACCTGCAGTGGTGGTCCACTGATGGCTGACCGCCTTCAGGGAGAATATCTCCAAGCATCTGACCTCCCGCCATGTGCTGGCAAACTGCCTCTAATGCATGGAGTATCTTTGGGGGAGACAAAGCTGGGGAAAGTCTTTTTATGTCCCACAGGGGACCTGGCCCTGCCTTTAACATTCACCATCACCCTCATTCCTCAGTGATGCCCTGGCTTCCCATTGAGTGGCTAACAACAAGGTCAGTGGCTACAACCTACCAGCTGCCCCTTGGGAGAAAGAGGAGGCTGTCTGCTCCCCGAATGCCGGAAAGACTGGAAAACCCAAAGGGACGTGAGGCTCTGCCCTATGGGGTTGCTATGAGTCCGGGTCCAATCAATGGCTTGGCTTCATTTGAATGTCAGGAGCACGGGTCTCCAGAGCCTCTGTCTCCCCAACTGAAAAGGGCACTTCACACCCTCAGATGAGGTCAGTCAGAGGCGCCGGCAGGGCCCAAGAGGACGCCCATTGGCTGGCTAGTGTTAGCCCGAGGGGCAGGACTTTGAACTCAAGTGGAGCCACAATCTCCGGACCTCCGTTTCCATTCCGCAAGGAGAGGAATGCAGGTGGACTGCCGCCTGCGTGATGGGAGAGTAAAATGGGCTGCTGTGGTGGTGGTTAGGCGCTGTGGAGTTGGTTCCCACTCGGAGGGAACCTGTGTACAACAGATGGAAACACCGCCCTGTCCCGTGCCAGCCTCACAGCTGTTCTTACGCCGGAGCCCATGGCTGCGGCCACTGTGTCCATCCGTCTCCTTGAGGGCCTGCCTCTCTTTTTCACTGTCCCTCTACTTTACCGAGCATGAGGTCCTTCTCCAGGGACTGGTCTCTCCTGACAATATGTCCGAAGTAGGGGAGACCAAGTCTTGCCATTCTTGCCTCTTAGGACCACTCTGGTCTAACTTCTTCCGAGAGGCTTGTCTGTCCCTTTAGTGGGCCACGGGACTCTTCAATACTCTTGGCCAGCACCGCCATTTACATGCTCGATTCTGCTTCAGCCTTCTTTATTCCGCGTCTCAACTTTCCTGTGCAGACCAGGGGACTGGAAATAGCATAGCTCGGGTCAGATGCAGCCTGGTCCTAACGTGACATCTTGCTCTTCACAATGGGGCGGAGGAGAACAAGGGCCCCCAGGGCCCCAGAGAGTCCTACTCTCCCACCTTGCAGCTCTGGTTCCCAAGGAGAGGTTGTGGCCTTTGGGGGTTACAACCCCAAGCCAATAGCCTCGCTGGTGGCCAGCTTTGGGGCTTCCCACGAGGGAACGAAAGACTGACTCACATGGTCTGCCCTCCACTGCTGCTGCTGTGAGGTGCCTTGAGTCCGTTCTGACCCACAGGAACTCAGTCGCCAACACTGCCCAGTCCTGCACTATGCCCGAGCCGATTGTTCCAGCCACTGTGTCCATCCGTCTCCTTGAGGGCCTGCCTCTCTTTTCCACTGTCCCTCTACTTTATCGAGCACGCTGTCCTTCTCCAGAGACGGGTCTCTCCTGACAACATGTCCCAGGCACGTGAGACAAAGTCGCTATCCTGGCCTCTGCTGTACTTCTTCCAAGACGGATCGGTTTGTCCTTTCAGCTTCCCGTGTACTTTTCAGCATTCTTCGCCAGCACCACAATTCAAGGCATCAGTTCTTCTTCCGTCTTCCTCATTCCAGGTCTGACTTTCACACGCGTGTGAAGCGATGGGAAATGCCAGGAGTTGGGTCAGGCACAAAGCACCTTCCTCCTCAATGTCACGCCATTGCTCTTCAGCACTTTAAAGAGCTCTTCAAAGAAAGACCGGGGAAATAAAAAAAAAAGAAAGACCGGGAGGGGTAGAAAGGGGGAACCCATCACAAGGTTGGATCTATAGCACCCCCCCAAGGGAATGAATACCAGAACCGTGGATGAAGGGAGACAATGGGCAGTGTAAGATACGAAAGAATCACAATACATACTTGATCAAGGATTCACGAGGGTGGGAGGGTGGGAAAGGGAGGGGAAAAAGAGGAGCTTATACCAAGGGCTCAAGTAGAAACTGTTTTGAAAAGGATGAAGGCAACATATATGCAAATATACTTGATACCATCAATGTATGGAATGTTAAGAGCCCCCAATAAAATGATTTTTTTTAAAGAGTTCTTGTGTAGATTTACCCAATGCTATGTGTCCTTTGATCTCATGACTGCTGCTACCATGAGCATCGAGTATGGATCCAAGCAAGGCAACACCTTTGACAACTTCAACCTTTTCCCCACTGTCATGATGTTACCTGTGACTCCATCTGGGAGGATTTGGGTCTCCTTGACCTTGAGTTGAAATCCATGCCAAAGGGCGCAATCCACTACTGCAATGCCTTCCCACTAAAAAGTAAGAGCCCTGGCGGTGCTGTGAGTTAACATGTTGGGCCACTAACTACAAGGTGGGTGGTTCAAACCCACCAGCCTTTCCTGGGGGGCTAAGATGAGGCTGCCTGCTCCTGCCGAGAAATTCTGTCTGGGAAGACGAAGGGGGCCGTTCTACGCTGGGTTGTATAGGGTCTCTGAGAACGGGAATCCAGTCCCTGGCAGCGGGTTTGACGGGCTGCTAATGTAAAATTTGGCGGCGTGAACCTTCGCGTGGGATGGAGCTTCGGAGCGCGCCAGGGAGAAAGGCTTGCCCATCCTCCGGTCCAGCCCGCAGGCGGGCACACCTGGGGGCAATGCCGCTCCTGCCCGCCTGAGGGCGCCACGCAGCTCTGCAGCCACAGGTGTTTTGGGTTTTCTTGGGATCACCAGACAACACAGATCCACCCAGCGAGCCTGCCCTAACGAGGCGCTTCAGCAGAGAATTAAACCTTTTCCGGCCCCTCCCCGCCGGCACCTGGGAGGGGCCCAGCCTGAGGGCCCGGCCCGCCCGGCCCTTCGGGCGAGGGATCAGCTGCTCTTCACCATAGGTGATGGAGATTTGCAGCCGGTTTCCCTTAGGGAGCCGCAGGTGACAGGTCTCACGCAGGAGTGAATGGTGCAGACAAGCCACACCCCCTCGCAGGAAGGGAGCTGATTGGCGGAGGGCCTTCGCGGGGCGGGACAGTCCTAGGGCTATATTAATGTGGTCCTGGGTGCCTGCTGGAGTGCGACTGAAGGTTCTTGCTGAGGTCAGGTAAGGTTTTGGGGGCTTGTGCTGGCGGAGTAGATCGCGGGTGGAGATGGCGGGTGGTGGGGATGGTGGAGATGGTGGA